ACCACCGCCGCCACCGCCGCCGCCACCCCCTCCACCGCCACCGCCTCCACCGCCACTCCCACCGCCGCCACCGACGCCACCACTCCCGCCAGCTCTCCTGCCACCACTCCCTCCGCCACCTCCTCCTCCTCCACCTCCTCCACCACCACCCCCCCCAATGCCACGTCCGCTACTCTTGGCTCCCTTGCCCTTGCCGCTGCGGTACCTCCCACTAGGAGCAGAAGCAGCACCAACAGACTCAGCACCAAGGAAGTCAACAGCAGTGGCATTAGCGTAGGAAGGGGCGAGGGGAGAGGGAGAGCATGTCAGAATGTATTTGCTGTCTAGCCTGCAGTGGGGTACTCTTAAGTGAGTACAACCCAATTTAGGGTTTGCTATTGGTATCCCAACTCTTGCTAGTGCATTACTCCTTCCATTTCTCTTTCGTGTACCCTAAATCCTAGCCATGGCTACTAAGTCCTAGCTAGGACTCTGACATGCTATCAGAGCGAGTACGCTCTTGGCCTGTGGGCCCACCTGCTTCCGCTGCTGTCCTATCTGTCGCGCGCCCCGTGGCGTGCGACGTTTTTTTTCTTCCTGCCACGTGCTCGGGGCGCATGGCGGTTTTCTGCCCGCCACGCGCTCGGGGCGCGCGGCGGTTTTCTGCTCGCCGTACGCCCCGAGGCGCGCGGCGGTTTCGTACTCCGTCCCGCGCACTGCTTCTCGTCGTCCGTCAAGGCGCTCTCTGTGACCCGCGGGGTCCCCCCGTCGTTCGTCGCGGCACCCTCGGGGACCCACGCGCCCCCCTCCCCCTCATCGTCCGTCGTGGCGCCCTCGGGGACCCACGCGTCCCCCCCTCCCGTCGCCCGTCGACGCGCCCCGGGGGCCCGCGCGTCGCCCCTCTCCCATCGCCCGTCGTGGCGCTCCGGGGGCCCGCGCATCGCCCCCTACCGTTGCCCGTCGAGGCGCCCCAGGGACCAGCGCGCCGCCCCGCTTCCGCTCGCCCGCTGCCCCATCTACTACCCATGTTTCTGCCCTGCGCCACCTGCGTTTGGGGTGTGGGGGTGGAGGGTATGGGGGTGCGAGTGTGTGAACCGTCCCCTGCTCCTCCTCCTCCTCCGTCTCCCACTGCTGCAGCTGCCGTTGAGGGGGGTGGGTGTGTGGGAGCCGAGGGAGTGGTGCTAGGGGGGTGACATGGGAGTGGAGCTAGGGGTGCAGCAAGGGGTGTGTGAAAGGGGGGTGGGACAGTTGGGGGAGGTTGAGCGGAGGCTGCCGTCTTGTCCTCCGCAGCACCTGTAGTCCGGGGCTCTGTTGCTAGTAGCTCTGAGAGCCTGCTGCGCATGTCGCCCGTGGGTCCGTTGCTCCTGCCGCTCAGAGTTAGCCGCAGAGCCAGTTACTCCTGTAGTCCGGAGCCCTTGCTCCGGTAGCCACCGTGCGCACCGCTCCTGTTGCCCGTGTGTCTGCAACTTCAGCCGTCGCCTCCTGTCTCCTCTCCTCTCACAGTCCAGCCTCCTCCTCCTCACTTGCCCTTTGTGAATGCCTCTAGCTTTGCTTGTGTTGGTGAACCTGCTCTATGACTACTTGCTCTGCTGGTTATACTCCACTTTGACTATGGGGGTGTGTCAGAATGTATTTGCTGTCTAGCCTGCAGTGGGGTACTCTATAGTGAGTACAATCCAATTTAGGATTTGCTATTTGTATCCCAACTCTTGCTAGTGCATTACTCCTTCTTCCATTTCTCTTTCGTGTACCCTAAATCCTAGCCATGGCTACTAAGTCCTAGCTAGGACTCTGACAGAGCACCCCTCAAAGATGGGGGTGCGAGGAGCGCCACGAGCAGCACCTAAAGTGACTATGCTAGTCTCGGCAGCTAGAAGCTGCTCCTCTAGGAGGTCGACAATGAGATCGGTGGGACAGCGAGCGATAAAGTGGTCCCTGAACGAGCGAAGAGAGTCAGGGAGATGGGTCACTATGAAGTGGAGGGTCCAGTACATCGGAGGCGGGTTCTTAGCTAAGAACTCTTTGAGGAGGGCGGCGCGAAGGCGAGTGTCACTAGTGCGAAGGTGGGTGATAAGATCGGCAACTGTGGCAAAGGTGGACAGCTCAGGAAACAGGTAGGGCAGCATGAGGCGGCTAAGTGCAGCCGTGGCAGGGGAGGAGTATCAAGCAACTACAGCGTCGTACAGGGCCTTAGCGGTTATGTGTTCGCCAAAATGCATGAGTTCGGCTAACGGCAGGTGGTTGCGAATGGCTAGGCGAGCAGCAGCGTCACGAGTCTGCCGCTGGGATCGGGCGCTAAGCTCAGCGGTGGCAGCAGGAGCGACTGAGGCACCAGACGTGTGGTCAAAGAGAGAGACATTGTCCTTGCTAGTGGGCAGTAAGTTGGGCTGCGCGCACGGCAGCCGCGGCAGTAGGGCGGGCGGCGCACAGGGCTACGAGGCAGCGCGACGGGCGGCGCGCGGGGTGTAGCAGGCAGCCGCGGCAGGGGCAGGCGGCGCGTGGGGCTACAGGTTGACGAGATGTGAGAATGATGAACTATGAAACAGTTGGGTACAAGTACTAACCCTAATTGGGTTGTACCCCTTATGGGCTACCCCACAATAGCCTACACAAATATATAAGCTATAATGTTCTGACACACCCCTATAGGCAAAGTGGGGGAGAACAAGTGGTCATAAGACCAGTCAAGCAAAGCAAAGCAAAGCAAAGCAAGCTCAGGGTGGATCACAAAGTCACCACACAGTCCAAGCACAAGAGTAAGGCCACAAGGCCAGTTCACATGCAAGGTCATATATATAAAGGTAAAACAAGCAAGGGCAGGTATAGAAGGAAGACAGTACAAACAAGATCAAGAAGTGAGCAAGTGAGGCCAGGTAGGCACAAGACCTAGCACAGTACACAAGCACTGATGATCACAAGGCAGAAGGGCCTTGGTGAAGATATCAGCAGTGTTGGCCTCAGAGGCCACGTAGGTGAGGCGGAGCTGACCATGCTGTTGCAGCTCACGAGACACAAAGTAGCGGAGAGCAATGTGCTTCGTTCTGTGCTCCAGTCTGTGCTCCCGACACAAGGCCAGCATGGCCTTGTTGTCTACGTACAGAACTGGAGGAGAACGAGGCGGCTCTCCTAGGTCAGTCAGCAGGTAGGTGAGCCAGCGTAGCTCCTGTGCAGCCATGGCCCCTGCGTAGATCTCAGCCTCACAGCTGGAGCCGAGGACAGAGGACGAGCGGGTAGACCGCCACGAAACAGAGCCGGAGCCAAGGCTGAAGGTGTAACCCTGTGATGACCGCTGCGTAGCCTGGTTGTCAGCCCAAGAAGCATCAGCGTGACCTGTGAGGACTACTCGACGTCGCCCTCCAAGCACTAACCCCATGCCCGACGTACTGCACACGTAGCGCAACACCCTCTTCGCTGCAGCCATGTGCTCTGGTCGGTGTGTCCCATGTCAGAATGTTATTGTTCTCTAGCCTGCAGTGGGGTACTCTATAGCGAGTACAACCCCTTAGGGTTCCCTATATGTAACCTGCTGCTTTCTAGTGAACCCCCTCTTTTTGCCTAAACTTTCTTGCCTAGCTAGGGTTCTCCTAACTATGGCGCCCTCATTCCTCGCCTCTATCTCAACATCCCAGGAGCAACATAGCGTGCCAAGATGCTAAGAGGGTATGCAAGGTCAGGTCGTGTGCAGGTCATCAGGTACATGAGGCAGCCAACAAGCTCTGGGTACGGGCCACTCGACTCTACGGACTCATCCGAAGGCAGAGCTGAGAGCAAGTGGCGAGTAGACAGAGGAGTGGCCTGAGGCGAGGAGTACGAGAAGCCGAAGCACTGAAAGACCTGCTGCACCATGTGTGACTCAGTCAAGGTAATGGTGCGCTGTGCTCTGTCCCGGGTGATCTGCAAGCCAAGGTAGCTGCGCAGTTCACCCAGGTCTGTGCACGTGTGTCTCTTCTGCATCTCGGACTTCACGTGGGCGAGTCCAGCAGTGTCAGCAGTGGCAAAGACCAGGTCGTCGACGTACACGAGGATGTATAACGGCGGCAAAGAGGTGTCGGTGCGTAGAAACAGCGATGGGTCGGCTGTAGAAGGAGCAAACCCAAGAGCCGCAAGTGTAATCCTCAGTGTGTCGTGCCACTCACGGGGCGCCTGGCGGAGACCGTAGACTGGCCGCCGGAGGCTCCACTGGGTGCCAGGAGGAAACGACCCAGTGAAGCCAGGAGGGCGGCGCAGCCAGATCTCCTCGTGCAGGCTGCTCTGCAGGAAAGCAGTGCTTAAGTCAAGAGAGTGAAGCTCGTAGTCGCGCTGAGCGGCTATGTGCAACAGCACTCGAAGAGTGGTCATCTTCGGGGTGGGAGAGAAGGACTGAAAGTAGTCAGCTCCCTGCCGCTGACTGAAGCCTCGAGCCACGTAACGCGCCTTGAAGACAGGCGGAAATCCCGGCGGCCGCTTCACCCTAAAGATCCACATCCCACTGACGATGTTCGCCCCAGGTGGGAGAATCTCGTCGACGTAGGTGCCTGTGGACTTCCAGGAAGCCATCTCTGCATCCATGGCCGACTGCCACTGAGAGGAGTAGGGACCCTCGATCGCCTCAGTGTACGATCGAGGAATCGGGATGTCTGGTGCATCCGGGTCTCCCTCAGGGGCAATCAGCGTGGACACGAGATGGGGCAAAGCAGCCGCAAAGCACTGGAACTCCTCCTGCCTGTCCTCAAGGACGTCCATGGTAAGAGCACACTCACCCCCGACGGACGGAGGACAGACAGACAGTCTCACCAGCACCTAGCGCAGCAGCCTCAATGCCCGGGTCAGGCGGTACACACAGGTAACAGGCACCCTCAACACTATCAGCAACAGCATACATGGCAGCAAGAATAGCATCAAAGTCAAGATCAAAGATAGCAACCCCGGCCTTAGCCAGATCTCCCCAGCGAGGGATCTCTGACGCCTCAGGGAACTGGCGACGCCACGCGTCCGTCAGGCGACCAAAGCAGCGCTGGGTGGAGTGCGGACCCCCGCACTGCTCACCAGTGCGGTCGCCGGTACGGAGAACGTAAGAGCAAGGACCAAAACCCCCCACCGCGCTGGCGTGCAGTGTACCACTCACGAAGCTGCTGAGGGGACCGGGTCACACCACTCCGCTGCTGCTGCTGGCGCTGACCACCACCGGCGCCACTCCTCGACGCAGAGTCGCGACTCGCTCCACCACCGCCGCCTCTGACGCCGCTGCCGCCTCCGCCGCCTCCGCCGCCTCCTCCACCTCCGCCTCCTCCACTACCTCCGCCGCCTCCGCTCCCTCCGCCACCTCCACCGCCTCCGCCGCCTCCACCACCACCTCCACCGCCCCCTCCACCTCCTCCAGTGCCCTTGCCCCCCTTGCCCTTGCCGGTGCGGCGTCTCTCGCTCGGGGCAGACGCAGCGCCGACCAACTCGAAACCAACGAGGTCGGCCGCAGCAACGGAGGCAACAGAGGGCAAGAGGGGGGAGGGAGAACACCCCTCAAAGACGGGGGTGCGAGGGTTGCCACGAGAGGCTCCTACAGCGACTATGCTCTTCTCTATCGCTAGGAGGGCCTTCTCGTGGAGGTCAACGGTGAGAGTGGTGGGGCAAACAGAGAGAAGTGGTCCCTGACTACACTGAGAGAGTCAGGGAGACGGGTGACTATGTAGTAGAGGGTGATGTACATGGGGGGGGGGGGTTCTTGGCGCAGATTTCAGCAGGAAGCGCAGCGCGGTAGCGAGTGTCACTAGTGCGGAGGTGCGTAATGAGGTCAGCAACAGTGGGAAAGGCAGCAAGGTCAGGGAAGAGGTACGGTAGCATGAGGCGGCTCAGTGCAGCAGTGGCAGGGGAAGAGTAGCGTGCAACTACAGCGTTGTACAAGGTCTGAGCACTCTTGTACTGGCTTAAGTGTGCACGCTCAGTGGTCGGTAAGTGGCGGTGCACAGCAAGGCAAGCAACAGCGTCACGTGTGGCCCACTGTGAGCGAACAGTGGCGTCAGCATCAGCAGTAGGGGCAGGGGAGGCACTAGAAGTGAGGTCAAACAGGGAGAGGCCGTCTGCCCTATCGCACTGCAGGAAAAGCTGCAGATCATCTACCCAGACCTCAAAGTCCACTGCCCGACCCTCAGCGTCAAAGGTGAGAACGCTAGGGGAAGCCATAACAGCAGGAGGCAGGGCAGTGCAGTGGCAGAGACTGTGCTCTTACCAGGTAGGTGGAGCGATCGGGCTGCTCGGCTGTCGGGCGACTCGGCTGCAGGGCGGCTCGGCTGCTGGGCGGCTCGACTGCTGGGCGGCTCGGCTTCTGGTGCGGGGCGGCTCGGCTGTCGGGCGGCTCGGCTGCTGGGCGGCTCGGCTGCTGGGCGGCTCGGCTGCACGGTGCTGGGCGGCTCGGCTGTCGGGCGGCTCGGCTGCTGGGCGGCTCGGGAGGTCGGGCGGCTCAGGTGGTCGGCGGTTCGGCTGCTCGGCGTTGCGGGCTCTGGGAGGTGGGGTCGCAGGTGGTGGCGAGGTCGCAGGTGGCGGCGGGCCGCAAGGGTGGGTGGGGCCGCGGTGGCGACGGGGCCGAACTGGGGCCTAAGTGGGGCCGTAGAGGGGCCGACGGGGCCGAAGTGGGGCCGTAGCGGGGCCGCAGCGGGGCCTAAGCGGGGCCAAAGCGGGGCCGTAGCGGGGCCTAAGCGGGGCCGTTGCGTGGCCGTAGCGGGGCCGTAGCGGGGCCGACGGGGCCGTAGCGGGGCTGTAGCGGGGCCTAAGCGGGGCCGACGGGGCCGTAGCGGGGCCGTAGCGGGGCCGTAGCTGGGCCTAAGCGGGGCCGACGGGGCTGTAGCGGGGCCGTAGCGGGGCCGTAGCGGGGCCGTAGCGGGGCAGACGGGGCCAACGGGGCCGTAGCGGGGCCATAGCGGGGCCTAAGCGGGGCCGACGGGGTCGTAGCGGGGCCGTAGCGGGGCCATAGCGGGGCCTAAGCGGGGCCGACGGGGCCGTAGCGGGGCCGTAGCGGGGCCGTAGCGGGGCCGTAGCGGGGCCGATGGGGCCTAAGCGGGGCCGTAGCGGGGCCGTAGCGGCCTAAGCGAGGCCGTAGAGGGCGGCTCGAGGGGCAGTAAGAGTGGCCAATAGGGGCCACTAAGGCGGCTCGAGGCGCTGCTCGGGTTAGGAGCTAAGCGCGCTCCGGGCAGGGAAGGAAAAAAAGTTCGTGGTGGGCCCTAGGCAGTATTCCCACTCGGGAACCTGCTCGATACCATGACGAGAAGTGAGAATGATGAACTATGAAACAGTTGGGTACAAGTACTAACCCTAATTGGGCTGTACCCCTTATGGGCTACCCCACTTCAGCCTACACAAATGTATAAGCTATAATGTTCTGACACAGGTGGCCGACGGGGCAGTACGCTAGAGAAAACGTGCGGTGCAGCAGTGGCGCGCGTGGGGTCAGCGCCGCGCGGGGTAGGGCAGTGGGGTAACTCAGTAACCGCAGTCGGAATGGTGGGCCCGAAAAAAAATGGTCATACGGACCTACCGTCATCGCCCGGATAGAAGTCAGTGTTGAATAGTAGACAGGGGTTGTCTATTATCCGGGTGTCTCTTATAAACAGGCTAGCCTCATTATAAGACACCTATTTGTGTGTACGAGTTAAGCCATTGTAGGGGTTAGGGGCAATTGTACAGCGAGGGGGTATCTTCTAAATGGTTCTTTGTCCATTCATAAGACTTATAAGACACCCTACACCGTCCTAAATACAAGATAGCCCAAGCATTTTGAGTAGTGTATGAGATAAGACATATATGTCTTGTATCCGGGCGATGACGATACTACTTTGAAACCATGTCAGAATGAGAAGCTAGAATGATTGCATTGAAAGCATTGTGGGTACAAGTACTAACCCTAACATTGGGTTGTACCCCATATGGGCTACCCCACGATAGCCTATACAGAACTAGCATATATTTTTAGTTTGAGAGATCATTGTACTGTTTGCTGTATTTTATAGAAATCTGTTTGTGGACGGGCCTTGTGACCATTTGCTTGTGCTTAGAGTGTGTGGCGACTTCGTGATCCACCCTGAGCTTGCTTTGATTTTCTTGACTGGTCTTGTGACCCCTTGTTCTCCCCCACTTTGCCTATGGGGTGTGTCAAACCATAATGCTACTTATGCTGTGTACGTTGTTGTGGGGTAGCCTATTTGGGGTACAACCCAATTAGGGTTAGTACTTGTACTCAGTTTGAACTCAGTTATGTTGGCTCACCTACGTGCTGACTGACTTGGAAGAGCCGCCTAGTTATCCTCCGAATCTGTACGTAGACTACAAGGCCATGATTGCCTTGTGTCAGGAGCACTGACTAGAGCACATGACGAAGCATATCGCTCTGCGTTACTTTCTGCTCGAGAGTTGCAACAGCGTGGTCAGCTCCGTCTTGCTTACGAGGCCACTCGGGCCAACACTGCTGATATATTCACCAAGGCACTTCAGCCTTGTGATCATCAGCGTTTCTGTACTGTTTTAGGCCTTGCATTGTGATCTATGTAGTTATATGTGCATGCTTACACTTGATAGGTTGTGATCATTGTACTGCATATTCTCACTTATATAACGCTGCATGTGAACTGGCCTTGTTGTGACCATTTGCTTGTGCTCAGAGTGTGTGGTGACTACGTGATCCACCCTGAGCTTGCTTTGCATTTTCTTGACTAGTCTTGTGACCCCTTGTTCTCCCCCACTTTGCTTATGGGGGTGTGTCAAACTGTTATATTGTTGTGTAGGTTGTAGTGGGGTAGTCCATATGGGGTACAACCCAAATTACGGTAGGGTTAGTACTTGTATCACCTTCTTACTCAATGCAATCATTCCTGCTCGTTAGTTCCTGAGTCCACCATGGGAAAAGCGAGGGCTGGTTAGGTTTGACGAAAAAAAAGAAAATCTGAAATCGGAAACTTTCGCCACAACCCAACTGGAAGAACTCCCTGTTAAGAATGAAAGTGTTGGTGCATTATGTCAAATTATAATATTGTGTAGGCTATAGTGGGGTAGCCCATATGGGGTACACATTTATAGGGTTGCATATTTGTATCACTTCCATTCCTTAGTCATTCATTCTTGTTCTACTTTCCTCATGGTATCGAGCAGGTTCCCCCTTGGGAACTGTGCCTAGGGCCCACCACATCGAGTTTCAAAATTTTTTTTTCCTGCCCGAAGCGCGCTCCGCCCGAGTCGCGCTCCCGGCTCTCACCTCGCCGAGCCGCCCTAGCGGCCCCCCCCCTATGCCCTAGCGGCCCCTTCCCCTAGCGGCCCCGCCGCCCTTCGTTTCGGCCCCGCCGCCCTTCAGTGCGGCCCCGCCGCCCGTCACAGCGGCCCCGTCGCCCCGCATCGCGGCCCCGCCGCCCGTCTCCGCGGCCTCGCCGCCCGTCGCTGCGGCCCCGCCCCTACTCAGCGGCCCCGCCTCCCTTCTCCTCAGCGGCCCCGCCGCCCTGCTCAGCGGCCCCGCCGCCCTAATCAGCGGCCCCTCCGCCCTACTCAGCGGCCCCGCCGCCCTTCTCCTCAGCGGCCCCGCCGCCCTACTCAGCGGCCCCGCCGCCCTTCTCCTCAGCGGCCCCGCCGCCCTACTCAGCGGCCCCGCCGCCCTTCTCCTCAGCGGCCCCGCCGCCCTACTCAGCGGCCCCGCCGCCCTTCTCCTCAGCGGCCCCGCCGCCCTACTTAGCGGCCCCGCCGCCCTTCTCCTCAGCGGCCTCGCCGCCCTACTCAGCGGCCCTGCCGCCCTACTCAGCGGCCCCGCCGCCCTTCTCCTCAGCGGCCCCGCCGCCCTACTCAGCGGCCCCGCCCCCCTTCTCCTTAGCGGCCCCGCCGCCCTACTCAGCGGCCCCGCCGCCCTTCTCCTCAGCGGCCCCACCGCCCTTCTCCTCAGCGGCCCCGCCGCCCTTCTCCTCAGCGGCCCCGCCGCCCTACTCAGCGGCCCCGCCGCCCTACTCAGCGGCCCCGCCGCCCTTCTCCTCAGCGGCCCCGCCGCCCTGCTCAGCGGCCTCGCCGCCCTTCTCAGCGGCCCAGCCGCCCCTCGCACCAGCGGCCCTGCCGCCCTACACCGCCCGCGCCGCTCGAGCCGCCCGAACCGCCCAAGCCTCCCGAGCCGCCCGACCTGCCCGAGCTGCCCGAGCCGCCCGAGCCGCCCGACTCTCCTGAGCCGCCCGAGCTGCCCGAGCCGGCCGAGCCGCCCAAGCCACCCCAGCCGACTGAGCCGCCCGAGCCGCCTGAGGAGCCGAGCCGCTGGTGCCACGGAGCCGCAGTTGCTGCAGTGCCGTCCGAGCAGCCGTGTTGCCGTGCTGCTGTACCGCTGAGCTGCCCGACCCGCCCTGCCTGGTGAGAGCAGCGCTTCTGTCACTGCACTGCCCCTGTCCTACAGTTGGTACTGCTAGTCCACTGTTGTCATGGCTACCCCCAGTGTTCTCGCTTTTGACGCTGAGGGTCGAGCCATTGCCTTTGAGGTTTGGGTGGATGACCTGCAGCTTTTCCTACAGTGCGATAGGGCAGACGGTCTTTCCCTCTTTGACCTCACCTCTGGTGCTTCCCTAGCCCCTGCTGCCGATGCCGACGCCACTGTTCGCTCCCAGTGGGCCACTCGCGATGCTGCTGCACGTCTTGCTGTGCGTCGCCACCTGCCTACCACTGAGCGCGCGCACTATAGCCAGTACAAGAGTGCTCAGACCCTGTACGACGCTGTCGTTGCACGCTACTCCTCCCCTGCCACTGCTGCACTGAGCCACCTCATGCTACCGTACCTCTTTCCTGACCTTGCTGCCTTTCCCACAGTCGCTGACCTCATTACGCACCTCCGCACTAGTGACACTCGCTACCGCGCCGCGCTTCCTGCTGAGTTCTGCGCCAAGAACCCCCCCCCCATGTACATCACTCTCTATTATATAGTCACCCGCCTCCCTGACTCCCTTCGTGTAGTCAGGGACCACTTCCTCTCAGTCTGTCCCACCACTCTCACTGTTGACCTCCTAGAGAAGGCCCTCCTAGCGGCGGAGAAGAGCATAGTCGCTGTAGGAGCCTCTCGTGGTGACCCTCGCACCCCCATCTTTGAGGGGTGTTCCCCTTCCCCCCTGTTGCCCTCTGTCGCCTCTGCTGCTGCGGCCGACCTCGTTGGTCTTGAGTCGGTCAGTGCGGCGTCTGCCCCT